TTTTTTTTTTTTTTTTTAGAACCGCAAGTGGTAAAATTCTCAAGAGACAGCATTAATGTGTTATGTAGCTGAATTCCCATAAACAGAAATACAGCAAAGTGCGAGTGCTCAGTGTTTCTGAAATCTGCTTTCTAACTGTGGCAAAGGCTATGCCTAGTAATCTTCAGAGTAAAATTACTCAAGAGAACTATAAAATGGACCGTGTTCCAACAGTTATCACAAAATCACTTTACAGTGGAATGCTGCCTGGTATTTCTACAAGTAGTCTGGTGTTTCATATACACCTGCAGGCAAGAAGTACAAAGCACTTTAAAAAGGGCCTAAGTTGAAATGGAGGAAATATATGATAGCACCAAGGCCAAAAGGAAAAGCCGTAGAAACACTTCCCATTGTTCTCTAGAAATAAGTCGCATATTTCCCACATAGCCCCTCAGATTTGAGAAATTAAATAATATAAATGGTTACCTTGCCAACAAGCTCCAACAACCAACTGAGTTTCTATCTTGGAAGGATGAAGTGGGTAATCCTCAGTCACCGGGAAAGGGTCATATGAAACCCCATCTACATAGAGTGTCACTGTTGGAAATTCAACATTGAGGACATAGTGATGCCATTCTTTGTCACACACCTGGGAAGGGAAAGTATGGCTTTAAAACACAAAGTTCAGATCCTTTCATTTCCTCCCTTCTTTACATTTTTTGTGCAAGAAACATGTTTCTACATTTTATATGTAAAATACACATTTCCAAAAAAAGCATGTCTGCATATATTCCATCAACAGTTTCTTCTATTTTCAATAAAGGAAAAAATTGCAGGTCTCTATTCAAGCAGGTATTTCTGTACAATGAATTTACAGCAGGATGTTTAGAGAAACCACATATGCCAAAACACAAAGCAGTCATTATTGACAGTTACTAAACACGAATATTTTTTTGAAAGGACAACATATGTGGCTCTGCTGAGATGGCCTGTGTATAAAACGTAATGATTCTGAGAACAAAAATATTTTTCAAGCCAAGAATACAGATCTCTCGTGGAAACTGGCTGCAATTTTGGAAAGAATACCATCTCCTTAGAAATATGCACAAGGTGCTTTCTAATCAAAACTGTGTATTCCAGTGTAGGGAAAACGCTAGAAAACTGCTCACTGAACAGATACATTGCAGCATAATAATCTCACTGCTTAAATAACTATCACCAAATAGATTCCCAACACTATTTAGAAGCAATTAAAAGAACATTTATACAAAAAAAATGGACACACACAGGCTTAGCTTTTGCTCAGATCCCTCCACAGAGTCCCTGCTCTCTCAATGGCAGTCTTCCTTATCATGAAGGCAGAGGCATAACTAGGAATTTTGGTGCCCCTGGGTAAAGACGCCCAAGTCAGGGCTACTGAATGCTTATGACGTGTGGGCTGCTGGTAAGATGCAGGGTCCTCAAGTCTGCCATTCCAGCACCGGCTCTAAATTAGTATGTGGGGCTGAATCTCTGCTCACCACCCCGCTCCTTTACTATACTACTGCGTGATGGTTACCAAACCAGACATATGTTTGCAAAACTGGGAGATATGACAGTACAGGAAACACCAAAAAAAGGGAAGTTCTCTGGAACAACAAGTGGGTTTTGTATATCTTTGGCTAAAGCAGTAATTATGCCTAGATTGAAATCATAAGGCCTGCCCAGTGAAGAAATATTTACTCTCTGAAAGAATAATCACAGGGCACGCTAATTCTGTCCCCAAAATAACTCCTAAACCAAGTAATTGCTTCCCTTCATAGGCTTATTACAGTATTTAATGCTTGATCAAGCAAATCCCCTTCTCATTAGACAGACTGATTCTCTACCAACAATCTGTCCATCTAATGTTGAAAATATGCCAGAAAAGTTTTCTTAAAATGGTCAGAAGGATTAAGAGAGAAGTGCATCTGTTACTGTTATATGCTTTGACCTACAAAAACATCACATGTTCACAAGTGCTTAATTGTTACAAATGTAGCAGAACTCTTCAAGTAGAAAACTGATTTGTTCTTGAAGTATTATTGCTGTCATCCTACTCAAAGCAAAGTATTATTGCTGTCATCCTAGCAAAGCAAAGTTTCATCAAATCTACCGTTTTACTAACATTTTGTTTGCAGCGTAAGGCCAGATTGTACAACCATCCCTTATACTGAGTTGCACTTTATTCCCAGTTGACTTTAATAGGATCAAGGTGCATGTGTGTGTAAAAAAGGGTAAGAAAATCTGGTTCCAATGCCTTAGTGCTACTACAATAAAATTTGGCTGGGTTTTTTCAACTATGGAATGGATTTAGAGTTGCAAAACACACCCTTACTTTAATTTACTATTAAGCATTTAAACCAAGTTTTAGCCTTTTGTGGTTATCATTTCACTTTGACTTCATAGCAAGTGTCCTTCCAACTCACCTGGTTTAACTTCCAGTGGAATTCCGCAGGTTTGTAGGTCTTTCCCTCTGAAGGATCTTGGCGGAAGAGGAAAACAAGTCGGCAGTTGTGTACGTAAAGAGAGTAGTGGTGCCGGTTCATATCTGTACAAGAGATTGGATTCAGGTTATTCCTTCTCTTATTGTTTTGTTCCCTAGAACTCCAGAACTAAACGCAACAATCCAGTTCCATATTTTATACGTAGCTTGACTTGATGCTTTTGAGGAGGTTAAAGCTCACACATTTCTTGCCCCAAGAAATCTATCTAAACTAAATGCACAGATAAGACACTAAAGGGAACAAGATGGTGGGAGCAAGGATGAAGTCATTTCATATCACTCATATCATGCATAAAATCAGCCAAGGAAGCAAAAGAAAAGCACTCAAACCCTGGGAACTTTCTACCCCAACAGTACTATTTGACCTCACTGTCCCACAATACATTTCTATGATTAAACACTGATGGCCACCCACTGACAGCCCTATTTTTTTTTTTTTTAAAGGAATGGGCTGCTAATATACTCTACAGCATACTGTTGAAATGAAGAGGAATTGGTAATTCCAGAAATAATCAGCTCCACACAGTACTGTATTACAGTAGGGGTAACTGCATAGGCTGTTTTGGAGATCGGCATTCCACGTTTCTGCACGCTACCCTTAAAAATGGAGCACAGTTCTAAGCTATTTCAATTCAGCATTTTCTCCAATCCAATTACTTCCAGGAATCCACCAGCTCTGGTTTTTAATTAAGGGGGAAAATCAGTTAGTCTTTTCCTGATAGGCCAAAACAAACACACACAAAAATGTTTCAAAGAACAATCTGTGATATTAGGCAGGCACTTTTTATCAGATCAAAAGAAGTGCTTTTTAAGTTACCACTGATCCTGTGGATCTCTTTACTTGTGATCTAGTTCTGTTAATGATGAGGGCTGTTTGGTTTTGTTTGCATCCCACTAGGGTTCTTTTGAGAGACCCTACAGCTTGTTATCCAAAACGCTTGTTTCTAAATAGCTGAACTCCACCGCTCCAGCCAAAGGCAAGAATTCTTGTACTCCATTAGGCAGCAATTATGTAAACAGTTATCAGATTTTCTTTTGTATCTGCACCATCCTAAAATGATTGTGTTTGAAGCTTTCACACAGAATAACACTTTTCCCAGAATTAGAAGTTTCATTATAGAGAAAAAATGTATTTTCTCCTAGAAAAAAAAGACACAGTGATGGGCCATTATTTTCAATGATTACAAACGGTATCCAAAATGATTCTCCAGAACAAGACAAATAAAGCAGATTGCAGACCCGTCTGTCACAATGGCTAGAACTTTACAATAATATGGAAATTTGCAAGTTTGGGAAGCTATATACTCCAAGGGCATGGCTACATGGGCAAACTGACCAGCAAATCTCCCTGTGAGGATGATCTGAATCGAACAGAAGATAACATTTTCTAAGCTATTCCACTTCCAAAGCAAACCCCAGTCTAGAGATACACATTAGAGCTTTGACATCACTGTTACAGTATAATGGAACCAGAGACGGTCTACAAACCTGTCTTGTCTGAATTGCAGAGTATTGTCTCCTTGTCCTTGGTTCCAGGGCTATGCCTCATCCATACCGAGATCATGAACGGCTCTTTTAGATTGACTGTAACAATGCCATCTGGAATCTTCACAGCTTGAGTGCCATTGAATTCAAAGACCTGGTCACTGTCATGGCCGTTGTCAGTAGGAAGTCCTATTGTCCAGTTCGTAGCGCTACTTGGAGGGGGAAGCAGCTCAGCCGTGCCAGAGGAAGCACCTACAATAAAAGTAGACTAATAAAAACTACCCTGGAGGAAAGGGAAAAAACTGCAGCTGGCTTCAAACCAAGCTGTTTGTTTTTATGAGTGCTAAGCTCTTAGCATCAGCTGTGTTAGTGTCATACACCAGGCAATTCTGACTTTGACTGCAGTGGAATTAGACAGCATCAGGCATATTTGACAGCTTTAAATTACGTGCTCCAGACATTTAACCTCCTAGGAGACGTTCGGTCTAACTGAGAATCCCGATTCCCTAACTGTGCTTATCTGAAGGCCTTTTCCCTTCTTATACTAGGAGTTATCAGACTAGAGGCATTTTACTTTCTTAATTCACACCAGGACCCTATTCTTCTGTTCTTCCTCTGTAACAGTATTGTGGCCCAGTCAGGGAGGGCTGACTGAGGTTCCCCATCAGAGCCTGAGTTGGAGGGACTGCTGTTTTACTCCACAGTAAGGGCTAAACCTGATGTTTCCTTTATACTCCAAAGTGGGGAGCATCTGATGTCAACATGAAGTACACTAGACTTGTACACTGGATTATTAGTGGCAACAGCTTAAGAGCTGCCAGTACCTCAGAGTTACTGGTTATAATTCAGAAACATGGATTTTGCTGGTTAATATTTTCGTTAGACAGTAAGACTGCAGCTGCTATTTATACAGTTAAAACACTTGCACCAAGGACCAGGTTCAGCCCTGGAGCAGGCAAGTTATTGCCATCACTGGGAGTCATCCCAGTTACTTCAGGCCTGAACTTCGTGCAGTGGTTTAATGTCTACAACATACGGTTTGATATAGCTCTAGGGCCAATAAAGTAAAGTAGAGTGAAAGAATTTAATTTTGATGCAATATAACACTAATACAGACTGGAAAACCTAATGCGTCATTTTCTGACAAAACAGCAAAGAAGCCTTTACACATCAACACAATTCCTCATGTAAAAATGACACCATTATAAAACACGTATGCTACAACAGTTAAGTGATGAAGTCCAGAGCATGATGTCTTGGGAGAAAGACAAAATCCTACCAGTCATTTGAAGCCATTCATGTGTCTAGTTAACTTAGTTTCACTGGAACAGTTTCAAGAGAGCTTTCCCATCAGAGGTTTGATCTGTTCTGAACCTATATGTCATTGGTATTTAGCTCTGCTGATTAGAGGGTTTGGACACCCAGGCTGCTACCAGCTTATCTTCTGAGGTGCCAACTGCTCACACCTCCCATTGACTTCAACTCAAGTTGCAGTTGAAGGTGCTAAGTATAACACAGAACCTGGGCCATGACTTCTGTTCCTTCAATTCTGCATTAAGGGACTCGTGCATTTTAATCCTACTAATCATCATATATATGAATGCTGAAGTGCCCAAGGCAAGTAGAGCATGGATTTGGCCGGTTCAGATAAAGTCCCTGATTCTGGGCCGTATTTTCTCTACCACAGGTGTCTTTGGCAACACCCATCACATTCTTTCTATGCCTAAAAACACGAGCAGTTTCTAACAGCCATACCCTTGAATGCATCCTTTCAATTACTGAGACTTTACCTCCAGTAAGAGAAACTGCTGTCCCAAACGGGGAGACTAGAAAAGGAACCCATAGCAATCTTCTTTGATGTAACAGGTATTTGAAAACACTGACTCGCCTTTTTTGTTAGTCAAAAGTTTGGGGAGACTAATACACTAATACAAAAATCAAGTGCCCATCAATTTGATGCGTTTCCTAGTCCTGGCTAGGGAAGAGATATGCAAAGAAAGATAAACAAGCAACAGAAAAACTATTTTACTTAAACCAACTGATGTAGTTTTACCACAGAGTCTGTGAAGGGATTTCTCAGAGTAAGTATCTCTGTCACAGCCTTTTCCAATGTGGTTGGTCTCCAGTTCAACTGTTGCTTGAATTGAAGTTATGGGCTCATCACAGGTCTCCAAGTGAATATTGGGGAAGAGAGCTAGAGAACCAGTGCCGGGTTCATATTCTATTCTTTTACTCCAACCTGTATATTCACCAAAAGAAACAGGATTAGAGATCTTTGGTATTACACGGAAGTAAAAGTACAGCAACGGGTGAAACAAAATAGGGAGGAAATTGAACTAACCTTGCCAGCCAGGCTTGCATGTAGGCTTAATGCTTATCTTCACCAGTACGTCCTCAGCAGCTCTCTTCTTCCCACAGTCATATGCAGTCACTGTAAGCTTATATTGGTGTTCTTTGCCATAGTTTAATTTTTCTGTATTTTTGATGTAACCTGGAAATTAACATTAAATATATGCATCTTTTGGACTAACAGCTGCATTATAGGTATTTTTACATGTACTAAGACTCAGAGCCATATGTTCAACCTAATTAACCCTTCTCTATTTATGTAGGTTTTAAATGCTAAATGACCAACCCAGCTATTTAAGAACTACTTAAATCCAGACGATTAGCACAAATACATACAGCAACAGATGCAATCTTGTCACTTTGTCTCTTTACAGCTTAATATGTCAGTGTAAATCTTTTAACAAAACCCAAGACTTAACTGACCCCAATCAAATACTAGGTCCTTTAATGCCTCCCACTAAGCATTTTATTTAAACTTGGGGGGCGGGGGGTGGTAACAGTGGCTGCACCCTTGACCAAAGCAGGCCTAAGAAGAACAGTAAGTGCTGCGTCCGAGGAGGCTGACAGAAAGAATTTTCCAATGAAATAAAAATTTAGAAGCAAGCAAACCTGAAGCCACTGCCTCTAAGTGCAACACCAGAGGAAGAGCTTCACGTGATCCCCACAGACCCCTCTAAATCTCACAAACTGTTCATAAGTACCTCAATTTTTAATTAACTTGGCCCCAAACCTTGGCATCAGTGATCCACACCAAAGAGTGACATAACAGAGTGCAGAAAAAAATAAAGGCTTTTTTGTAATCTATTTTTATAACACGAAAGGCTAGCCTGGACATGCAAGGCAATTTGTGTTTCTGAGAGCAGCTGTACCAAGGCAGATGCTTGTAAAGGAAGCACTCTCAGGCATCCAAGTGGAGGATACACCTGGAGCGTGTTCCAAAGGAACTATACCAGGGGTAGGCAATGTTTTTGGGCAGTGCCAAAAACACCTGCAACCTCAACTCATAAGATACTGGTGTGCCAGGAGTGGATGGCATGGGAACTGCGAGGGGTCTGATCCTTGTTGTGGCAGCACAGACCTGGCCCCTTCCTCATCATCTACCCAGAGGCGTACATGCCAAGCAAAACACCTTCACGTGCCACGTACTGGCACCCATGCTGACGGTTGCCGATCCCTGGACTATACCATCCCTAGGCACAAGCAATCATGGCTGCAACCTACGCGCATGAGGAAGGAGCTAAGTTAAAAACCAAAAAAATAGGAGAGCACCTCAGACTTTAAGACGAGGCAGAAAAAAGAGAAGAGAGAGGAAGAAACAACTAGAACTTCACAGAATCATACATTCAATGAGTGGGAAGGGACCTAGACAGATCGTCGAGTCCGACCCCCCGCCATGGGCAGGAAGGAGCACTGGGGGTGGCAGGGGTCATAAGACCCCAGCCAGGTGCCTGTCCAGTCTCCTCTTGAAGATTTCCATGGAAGGTGAGAGCACCACCTCTCTGGGGAGCCTATTCCAGGCTCTGGCCACCCTTACAGTGAAGTAGTTCTTCCTAATATCCAACCTAAACCTATCCTGCCTCAGCTTGTGGCCATTGCTCCTGGTGACTCCAAGGGGGGCCCTGGTGAACAGACTTTCCCTGAGTCCCTGCTGCTGGCCCCTGATAAGGTTGTAGGCAGCCACAAGATCCTCCCTCAGTCTCCTCTTGCGGAGACTGAAGAGATTCAGGTCCCTCAGCCTCTCCTCGTAGGGCTGGCCACGGAGGCCCCCAACCATACGAGTGGCCCTCCTCTGGACCCTCTCCAGGTTCTCCATGTCCCTCTTGAAGTGCGGCACCCAGAACTGGACACAGTACTCCAGCCGTGGCCTGACCAGCGCCGCATCGAGGGGGAGCAAGACCTGTCTGGACCTGTTAGTGATGCCCCTGTTGATGCAGGACAGAGTGCAGTTGGCTCTGCCTATTGCTTCGTCGCTTTGGCGACTCATATTCATCCTGGAGTCAATCATGACTCCAAGATCCCTCTCCGCCTCTGTGCTGCCAAGAGGGTCAGCCCCTAACCTATAACCATAATGCTGGTTCCCTCTCCCCAGGTGCAGCACCCTGCACTTGTCCTTGTTGAACCGCACCCTGTTCAGATCCACCCACTTCTCTAACCTATCCAGGTCTGTCTGGATGCGGTCCCCGCCTGCCGCTGTAGTCACTTTACTTTAGCATAGTAGTTAGCATAGTAAAGTATATTAGCACAATGAGAGTCTTCAGATTCATAGATGCTTGAGATGGTTTGAGAGATGAAACAGTGAGGTTTGTATTATCAAGAGACCCTGACTTTTACTGTACAAAAGTTCAGATGGGAATCTGAAATGGTAACAAACACATCTCTCAGTTACACTGTAGAACTAGATTACAAATAGAGGGACTGAAGTATATTTCTTACTAGTTTCAGTTTGACCACGACAAATCTGAAGATAATGGGTATTTATACATGTGCTCTGGGAGTGGGGCAGGGAGAGTGCTTTAATTAGAGCGGCTCCAGGAGCTGCTCTAATTAAAGGACCTGGAGTATCTTGCGTATCAGTGTCCGCATGCGTAAAAATGGCAGCGGGGGCACTTTAACTAAAGCTCATTCGACAAGCTTTAGTTGAAGCTTCCCTGCCACCATTTTTAAGCACACAGATGCTGATACACAAGACTGCTGGAGCAATTGCCACTGTAATTACAGCACATCAGAGCAGCCTTGATGCTCATGTGTAGGTGGCCCATATTCCAGTGACCAATTAGAGCAATTTTCCCCCTTCCCCAATTCTTACCATCTTTGTCGATTGCAAAGGGAACATCTGGAGTTACAATTTCATAGCTGCAGATCTGGCTGAACTGGGGTGAACAATCTGCATCCACAGCTTCCACTTTCAAGATGTTGTCATATCTCTTCCCTTCAATGACTGTTGCCTTGTAAGACTTCTCTTTAAACACTGGAGCATACTCATTAACATCGTTCACCTGGATATGTACTGTTGCTCTGGGGACAAGACAAAATAATCAGAACAGGAATATTTTGCAAAGCTTCCATTCATTAGCTCTTCTAAGGAAGAGTTGAAGAATGTCTCGTTGTAGCCAATGACTGAGCAAACTCCATAGTGCAAATCTATCCCTCTGCTAAGGCAGGATATAGTTCCCCCTCCCAAGAGAGTAATAAATACTTTGCGTATGACACTTGGCATCTTGTCTTATTAAGATGCAATAACAATTACAAAGGTAGGCGTCTGAAGGAAAGAGCTTTCTGAGGGGAAAGAGCTACTAAAGATGCACCTTAAGTATTGTACAGTAATCTATAAGTCCAAGCAGTTTAGGTCTCTCACACCTTTCTCCTTACGTATTTGTCACAGCATGTGAGTAAATATAGAATGAGGAAGATCCAGTTTTCTTCATCAGCAGAGAGAAAAGTACAAGATGAAACACATGCAAGAGACTATACAGAAAACCATTTAATCAATGCTGCCCTCCTGGAGGAAACGAAAGATCTTTTTTTCCCTTAAAAAAGAGATTATTTTGGCCCAGATCCCCAGCAAATTCAGTGCAAGACAATTTGACATTTCACAGATTTCTTCAGTGCATCAGCTGACCAAAACAAGCTCCACTGTTACATATCAGCTAAGGAGACTCTGCAACACACTCAATAATAGATGGGTTATCACAGTAACACAGTTTAGCACCAGGAGAAAATGACCAGCTCTGTACCATTATTCACACAGCCAGGCCAGCCAAAGAGTACAGAAGATAAGCAACTATTAATTGATGCTCCAGACACCAAGATTTCCAGAGCTGCTGTTTTCTCACCAATTTATTGAGTTTCCTCAGATTACTGACTGGCGCTCCTTTAAGTGCACACTTTTAATTCCTTTCTGTTAAGCCCATATCCTGCCTATAACCCCATGAACTGCAGCAAGCAGGAAAAAATGGCAGGCATCCACAGGTTCTACAATGTGAATACCTGCTGCACAGAAGGAGTCACAGGAATTGCACAGAGGAAAACCATACTTTCACACGGTATGTGAAACTCTGTTGTCATCTTTCCATGTTGACTGTTTCCCCAATAGTACAATCAAGTGCTGATAGGAAGTTTATCTATATGCCACTCTCCTTGAAGCACATGACCCTATGAAGTAGCTTTCCAAGTTGGCGCATCGTTTACATTCTAGATGGCATAAGGCTAGAAAAATAGCAAGGATATATTAGTCAATACGATGCCAGACCTGGACTAATGGTAGTCTGCCACATGCTGTACAGATGTTTTTTTCAAGCTGCTGCATGGTTATTTTTCAAGTGGCTTGTTAGAGCAATTTTTACTATGCGGTTTTCCATTTTTCTCTATATAAACAGCAGATTGCTTTGTTACCAACCTTTTGATCTAGGAGGGAAGAAACTTGCGCCAGTAAGTTTCTCTTTTTCCATTCAGGCCTCTTGGAAGCAATAAAAACATGTGTTCTTCTTCCTGTTCCTCAACACTAACACCTATTAGAGAAATGTGTCTTGGACCCTTCTTACACATGATCTTCCTCAGAGATCCACACCTATATCCATCTAGGATTTTAACAGTTTTATCAGCATTCTAACTGCCTGTACCACCACATTATTAGTTTTCCTGACGCACTTCCAGAGGTGTCAAGGGCTAATGCAGCACCAGCTACAACCTGGAGGCAGAGACATCAAAACCATTCTTTTTCAATTCACTGCCACTTGCATCAATATCACACGCGGGCCTTTCAGTATCATCACTTGGTTTACATGCGTTCGAAATATAAAGCACATAAACCACATCAGGCAAAGGACTACTTAAAATGAACTTCCTCTTAGCCACCCCCAGATTTACTTACTTGTGGGATTTTTTTGCATTGGCTCCGTCTGGTCCCTTTCCACAATCATAGGCCTGTATGGTGAACGTGTAGTCTTTCTGTAGTTCACAGTCAAGTTTTTCTTTAGAGCGTATTATTCCCTCACCTGTGGATTTATCCACTACCACAGCCTCAAAGGGGACATTCTGCCCGTGAATCTTAAAGCCACAAATCTCACCTAGAGATTCAAAGCAACAGAGGTTAGAACCAGTCAACAGCTTTCATACACTCTAAAAAATAAATGACTCAGTATTTTGCAGCCAGGGATTTGTGAGGGTCTGTGGACAAAGCAAGAGCACTGTGCTTTAAAATGGGTGAGTTCTGGGAACTTTAGTAAAAAAGAAGCATACGTCTGCCTTCCAAGCAACTGGTTTACTTTGCATCCATTCATGCAGGAATACAAAAGAGAAAAAGAGAAATGTAGACAGGCATTTCACAGGAGTACTTGAGACAGCTCTAGGGTAAGAGTAGATCTTATGAGAGCATACAGCCAAGGCCACTGGTAATATCTTCTATGCCAAGCTACTGGGAATAGCTGGGCAGCTTGTTTATTTTGACCAGAGCAGAAGGTTAAAATGCACAGTTACAAGTCAAGAGATGAAGAAGCATCCAGTATAGGTTCAGCACCATAATTACAGAAATTCTGTCAACAGATCAAAAGAACAAAGTCTTCCTGTGCAATGTACCTGGCTAAAATTAGGGAATCAAAATAAACTACTGAATGAAAAAGGTAGAAATACCAACTTTTCAGGCATCCATTTCAACAGCTATCTACTAATATAGTAGGGACAATGTTAATCATAGGTTTGCACATGGAAGGATTTATTAGACTTTCTTTTCTGGTCAAACACTTCTTCCTAACAGACCTGAAAGAGAGGCCTACATTACCTTAGGTTAATGATAGCTAAGGCCAAGTCTATGTTACAGACTTCCACTGGTACAGCTGGTTAGCCGGAGGTATGGAGCGCGATTCCCAAATGACACAAATGTTCCAACTGAAGCAGTCTGACAGATATAGTTATGCCAGCAAAACTGCACTTTTACTAAATAGCTGTTTAAACTTGGGAGCCGGTGTTTTTTTCTTTAAGGCACAATTTTGCCAATTTAGCTGTGTCCACACTAAATGCTTTGCTGATATAAATATACCTATAAAACCCCTACACCAGCAAAGTACTCCAAATGTAGATATGACCTAAGACTGTTTAGAAACTGGATTACAAAACAGATTTAATGTTACCAGGTAAGTGCTTATTTAAAAAAGTGTATTGTAGGAAGTGTGGTCTCTTTCAGCAAATCTATATTACTTTACAAAACGTGTGGCAAAACATAACATGTTCCAAAAAAAATGTAAAATACCAATGAAAAAGCTAAAGATGCTGCCCTACCCCACTCCAAGCTCAACAGGATCCATAGAGGCTACAATAAAACCCCCACACAGTTCAAATGGATGTCTGATTTACAGATATTTCTAACCAAGGGTTTGGTTACATAACGGTTTTTATTGATATATTTTAAAATAGAAAAGAACTGGGAGAATAAAATGGGGCAAAAAAGCATGACAGGATCTTCTGTTTAAGTGCTGATTCCCCATTTCATAACCAAAGTTAGTGGGTTAATATTTATAAAAAGGGATAGAAAGAACCCTTTATCACCTTCTTTGGTGACTGTCACCTCAAAACTCTCTAAAGGGAGAAAAGATAAACCCAAGTCAGTAACACAGGAAAGACTTAAGAGGGAGCAAAAAAGGAAAAAAAGTCAAAGATGCACACATTACATAGAAAAGCTTTGGATAAACTGCACAAACAGATTCCAGTGGTCAGCTGCTGCAACTGTTACAAACCTAGAGCCTCAGTCTCTTTAAAGGTTATTTCATCTCGGTCTTCAGTCTACCACTCCCTAGGCAATTTCTTAGGTTAAGTATTTGCTTAGTTTGTTAAAGGCTTCATCCTTCTCTTCTGGGGTACTGACAATTGGATAAGGGATGCTAAGCAGCTATTTTCTGAACTTCTATGCTTTCAGAGAACTGCCCAGCAAATTGAAGCCACACCAAAAACTTAGTTTTAACTCAGTCTCACTAAGGGATACATATGGAATACTTTAACTTTTTTTTTTTAATCAAATAAAATGTCACCTTTAATGCAGTTTCACAGTAGGCATTTCTCTCAGCTTGGACAATGCAAAACATTCTTGAGTTTTACTGTCAACTTTTTTATGCACTAGTGTAATGTTCCTATGTACAAGTTGCAAATACAGTACAAAGGGTTTTGGGATTGTTCCTTTTTTTTTTTTTTGGACAGTGGACGTGTCTTGGAAACAATTTTATTGAGCTAGGTTCTGTGACTACTAGTTACAAAAATTTAAATTCAGCAGCAAATTTAACCTGAGAATTTTCCTTTATGATTATACTAAGCATTCATGTTAACGTTAAGCAGCCTGATGAGCATAAACAGGGTTTAACTTAGGAAAATCATTTTCTTTGCCTCCTTGAGTATGCCACTTCTCCAGATTTAATGAACATCTAATAATTCCCACCTCTTTTACACAATCGCTTACATACTTGAATGCTGGGCATGCAATTTCTGGTGATAAGATACAGCTGACAGGTTTTATCTTAACAGAAACCACAGTGTTATTAAAACCTTGAACTTGCATTTTGTTACATGCTACTTAACATTCCGCTTACATTTTCTTAACTACCATAGTCTCTGACCCAAGATGCAGTTACAGCTAAGCAAACTTTATGTTTAAAATGCATATCAAATAGGACTATTGCTCATTCACATTTATTTGAGAAGGGTGCAAACTAGTAAATTCTCCATGATAAATAAAGGCGGGGGGGGGGATTATAATTCCTTAATGCGCTAAACAAAAATGTTCAAAAGTAAAAGGCAAAATACTGGATTAATACTGAAGCATAAATATCCTTCAGTGTGAAGGACAAATTACTGCAGAATGGGTAATTTTTGAACAGTGGGCCCTTATTTTAAAAGGACAGTTTTTGAAATCAGACTTTCACGAGGTTATTCCCAAAGCCTATTTAAAGCAATCTGATAGGTTTATAATTGACTCCTTATTTTATAGTAACAAATGTAAGTCTCCTAAGGCATCCATATAAAAAACCTGTTTCACCATTTGTTTACACAGCATATAAATGTAGTCTTGAATATTACGGTGTTTTAATAATAGAATCATTCAAGAAAACCACACGCTGCCCAAATTCCTGGCTAGCAGCACTGAGTGATCAAAAATGACTATAAAACAACTGCAGGCTTTTAAATACTGAATATGCCCATCTCTTATAAAGTTAGCCTTGGGAATCAGGCATTCCAAGAAAGGCATTAAACTGAGAAAATACACAGATATAGACGGCATGACAGCAGAAAGCCTAATAATGGAACTTAGGGGGAGGAGGGGGAAGTGTGTTAAATAATGTGACAGATGTATGTTTTTTTGCTGCTCAGTTCTTGGTCATTTAAACTGAAGTCTAACCCTGGCATCAGTGCCAACCTTTGCTGCTAGGCAGTTCAAATATTACATTCCTTGACAGCCCACCATCACAGTAAGTCACCATTAATCTGCCTGATAAATACCCATGAGTCTTCAGATGCTCCTTAGGGTATTGAAGCTTCTGCTCAAGATGTACTACAGATGAATTCCTACCAGATGTTTCTCAGAACAAGCATATATGAAATACATTCACATTTTCCACTTCAGAGGAACGAGATCTTATTGAAACAAAAAGCCCGCACATAAAAAAAGCCAGGGTGCAAAAAGCCTTTTTGTCATTACAAGGGAAGGTGGTTCATATGTCAAGAAGTTAAAGCGCATAGATGAAGCGCACACAGACAACAAAACTGACATGTATAAGGAATGTGCAACTCTCAACTGGAGCAAGGTTTGTAAGACCCATTAGCTCCATTCCACAAAGGGTCTCTAGCATAAGAAAAGATAAAAGAAATTATTTTAATTCCCCTAAAGTACAAAGTATTTTAAGAATTTAGGCTTCCTCTCTGCCCTTCAAAACAAATCAGAGACATCATTACAGAGCAAGGTCAGGATGGATGAGACAGCAGACAGATGGCTTTTCCAGTAAAAGGACAGTATACATCTTAAATGTCAGCTACAAGATGCATTGATTTTTCCAGCAGGTCAAGGAACCTCATACATCTAGGACTTTTAACAGGATTAAACAAATCTCGCCACTGAATGTCCTCATTCTCACAGAGAAGTTCAGTCTCATATAATTGATCCTGTGATAAACTTCTTAATATAAACGGGCATCATGGTATGCTATACATACATTATTTTGCACTTCATTTTTTTTGCCTGAACTTGCTCATTTCATTCTGGAGTTGAGGAAAATTAATGCAAGATGCCTCTGTCCTTGACATATCCAGATGGGGACAGAGATCAGTTAGGCAGGTTGGATATTAGTTTGTTGTTAGATACACTTTAATCTCTGTAGTTTAATACAATTTAGATTAGACTAGATTGCATCAAGCAGAGGGCCAGTCCTGCTAGGGTTAAGACTGAGAAAATAACTTCTGTTTTAATGTTTCTAACATGGGCTGACCGCTGCACTTTATGCTAGCCTAAAAATACTGAATAATCCTTATGAAAATATTTACTACCATCTTATCATACATTCTGAGGAGGGTGAAGGATTTCGTTTTTTTTTTGGGGGGGGGGGTAGGAAGAAGGGTTACTTATTTCATTCTGAAATGAATCACAGCACTATGAAGTAGGTTACTACAAATTCATTTTTAAAATACCTGAAACTAGGGGTCATAAAACATTTGATGCCCAACATCATCTCAAAATACTGAAAAATCAGCCTTCCCGTCCCAGCACCCTTCCAAAGAGACAAAAAGTATGAATACTTTCTAACAAGTTCTGGTTGCAAGTCCTGCTGGGAGCACCCCAGGCTCCAGCAGCTACTCAGAGCTGGGGCTGGCTGTGGTGTGCCACGCCCAGCACACGTGCCACGAGTTGCCAACCCCTGCCCTAGAATGTCTCCCAAACTGACTAGCTGTTAAAAAGTAACCCAAGGTTTTATTGTACAACTGGCAAAGGCATTTTATTTATTTGCATATAAGTTAAAAAGTCCTGCCCAAAGTGTGTCCTAGATTAATTCTGTGCTACAAATAAATGCAAGCATTCCCAGTAGTCCAGCCCAACCAAATGCACTCTCAGGTTCACACTGCTAATCGCCTTCAGCTGTGTCCATACCATACTGAATTGCAGTATCAGAATTTAGCTTGTCTATGGTCTGCAAAATTACTGAGTTAAATAAGGCCTAGATGACTAACTGAGAAACTGGCCCATGTATTCACAAAAACTTATCTAATTATGTCCAGTAATTAGATATGACAAAGCCAGTGCCCATTTCTGTGACAAGCCATGCCATTCATCTTCTCTACCTATCATTTCAGAGCCACTATCCAGCTGAGTGCTGCATTATGCATCAGCCGGCTGTAGACAACACGTCAGCACAGTTCCCAGCCCTGAACAAACAAGGGCCGGCAGTGCAGCATGAAGATACAGCATCAGCAGTCACCCACTGGAACATGTGAGGTATGTACATCTCCAGGCAGAGGCTGACAGAGGTTTGATATTTTTTAAGAGAATAAATAGAAATGCTGCACAAGTGTACATGCATTCTCTAAACACAAAGATACCTAGCCCCCACAAAAATCCTGGAGTCCTGTTTATTACTGTGGCCAAAGCCAAGTTACGTAGTTTAAGAATGACTTGCCCTTAGCTTTTTTAACTTAAACACATTACACTAGCAAGGATGGTCTCAAACAGTTCACCACTTTAAAGACATTTGAGGTTTTATCAACACTGCAAATTCAAACACGTCATGGGACCCGGTGACCTTCCATGGTTAGATCAAACCATGGAAGTAGTTTCTTACTGCACTGGATATTAAGAATTTAAGATATCTGGCATGGATTTAAAACATAGTTTCATCTCATTTAGACTGCAAAATATAATTAAGCTTTAAACCATCTCAGGGAGAACTCACTTTATGACCACGTTCCAACACAGCTGAATTTGTAATGCAGAAAGGATTTTACTGGGTGCACTGCAGACCTTCAATAATCATTCTCCCAGGCATTACCACAAACAGAATGGTATCAGCCAGATTGATTCCAAAGGGGTTTCTTTGAGATCATAAAGCAAGACAAGGCAATGCACTATGACCATATTCAGATCCTGCCTTTTTGTGCACTATCCACCAGATGTTTGAGCTTGCAAATTATCCTGAAATCAGGTATCTGGATAATCACATTTACTTCTAAACACCTGGGCTTATTTGAATGCATCATAATTTCAGGAACTTTCCCATGGAGAAATACAAACAAGCAGAACTATATAATGAATAGTAACATAATACCTTTCTTTTCCCTACAATTCTGGCATTATACAGCACACGTGAACGGCTCATGCTCAAAGTGGGGAAAAAACCCATTACCTTAAAATATTTTTTAAAATCAAATACTGTACATTTCAGAAGTATTTTAATTTCAACTAGTGGAAACATTTCATTCAAACTTCAACCTTTCAAGACAACCAAAAAAAATGCATTTTAATGAATATAAGTCTATACTACTTACTGCTGAAAAGGACAATTAAATCTGAAAGCTCTTTGTTTCAGCTGTGAAAACATTTTGTCATT